AGCCCTGGTAGGAGAAGGAAAGGAGGAGATGAAGCCCTCTGTAAACTCTCAGGCACTCTACAAACTCCCTCATGGCATTGTCAGGCAGCTCAGAGGCCACCACTCTCTGCTCCCACTATTGAGGCTTGGCAGGTGCGAGGCGGTGATTCTGAGTAATAGCGTCAGCCCATGGACCTACATTTTCTGTTGGAAGGTCACTTTGAGTTCAAGTCTTAGGGGAAGTTTAAGAAGCTGATTTTTGCCCCATCCAGGCATATCAGCACTAAAGCCAACACTACCTAACTCCTGTGTCCACTTCTCAATTGGTTCCAAACTCAGGGGAGGTTTAAATGGAGTGAGACATGGTCACGCCCATGACCACAGCCACAGTTCTCCTCACACAGGCCATAATGACCTGTTGGGTGCATCTCCGTCTGGGCTTTTAGGCTCCTGGAGACTGATGTCGTTTCATGATTCTTAGCATCCTCCAGGAGTGAGTACATTGCCAAGAGCCTAATAAATGTTTCATCCACTCATTAAGTCATTTGGAGGCAGTAGGGCTGTCCTTCTGTAAGGTTACCCCAGAAGGCTGAAGAAAGGTTGAGGAGGTATCAACATCACGCCTAGGGGACTCTAGGATGCCAGGCCGCTTGCCCCATGTAGACTACAAGAGCCTTGTCCCACAGCAGCCCACTCTCCAGCCTGGCTACCCTACTCCAGGTCAGGAGTGTCAGGGCTAGGAGCTGTCACCTCGGTCCACTCAGGGCCATGGCACATGACAGATGCCACAGGCTATGGGCTCCTCATCCAAATTGTCACATGCTCTGCAGACAGAGACTTTCAGGAGCCTGCGTGGCAGCCTTCAAAGGGACTAGAGATGGAGACCATCACAGTGCTGAGCAGCAGAAATAGAGAAATTACATCATTATCATTAACCTACCTGGATGCTCATCAGCAAAGGGCCTGGGGTTGGTCTTTAGTCCCCTGAATCCCAAGACAAACTGGGGCCCCTGGCTGATCCCTCTAGGACCCTTCTTTTGCCCATGCCCTCCTGGGATCCTTAGAGCAATTATCAGATGTTAGCCCATTTGTTGTTGGATGCTTCTTTCCATTCAGGCTGGGAAAAACCAGGACAGAGGAAAAGAATGGCCCAGAAGGCAAAGGGAGAAGCAGCTACCAGCCCCCACAAGCACCAGAAAATACCCCGGTTGCTTCCCCCACCTCTACATCCAATACCCACTCAGGGATCTGCACCTGCAACATGCATTTACATACCTGGCAACACATTCCCACTAGGAGGCCACTCCTACCCAGCCAGCCCTTATCTCTGGTGTGGGCTCAGCCAGCCTTTCTGATTCACCTGACATAAAAACAACAGGGAGCTCTCTGGAGGCCTGCAGACTGAGCTCCAGCCTCACAGTCCAACACTTCTCCCTCTGCCTGGTCACCAGGCTGTAGCCCACCACGTGGCTCCACGGATGCTCCATGGCATGGCAGGCTGAGTCGCACAGGTGTTCTCTTCCCTGAACACAGCCAAAGGGGCAGCTGAGGCCTAGTGAGGGGGTCAGGGGCCCCAGGGCTTATACTGCTCCCTGCTCTGAGTTCTGGAGGCATGAGTTCAGGGGGAAGGAATGTGGGTCCCAGGAAATGGAAGGGGCCAGAAAAGCCAGAAGAGTACCATGGGATGAGCATTCTAGCTTAGGGAAGTAGGACAACAGGAGCACCACAAAAATAAATCACTTGTCAAAAGGTACAAGCTCCCAGTTATAAAATAAATAAGTCCTACAGATGTAATGTACAACATGGTGACTATAGTTAATAACACTATATTGTTTATTTGAAAGTTGCTAAGAGAGTAGATCTTAAAAGTCCTCATCACAAGAAAAAAAATTGTAACTGTGTGGTTAACTAGACTTATTGTGGTGATCATTTTGCATTATATACAAATATTAAATCATTATGTTGTACACCTGAAACTAATACAATGTTATATGTCAATTATATCTCAATTTGAAAAAAATAAACCACTAATCATACCCTCTTTTCCAGCTCTTTGAGTTGTAACTATGATAAAACCCACAGGGGGCCCCTACCCTAAAGATACAAGTCCTAAAATCAACCTCCTGGGCCTTCCACTTCCCTCCTCCATCTTCCTACAGCTGAAACGCCACAGCACAGAGGCCTCTGAGATTCGGTTCCGCTTCACAGTCCTCAAAGGAATCTTGGATTTAGAGGCAAAAAAGAACTCCAGAGTTCATCTCATTCATCCCTGACTCAAGGCAGGAAGGGAAAAGGGAAAAGAACCCAAGAGCCATGTGAATGGGTGAAGGAAAAGCTGGGTTTGCCTACAAGGGCCCTTGATGGAGACGCTCGGGAGGCTGGCCTTGCTGATGGTGTGTGAAACATGTGTGGTCTGAGCTGAGGCCAAATGAATTGTAGCTGAGCGTCGGAGCAAAGGAACTCGAGTATCAGCCAAATCAAAGGAAACTGATACTGTGCATTAAAAGCCAGTGTGGCCTTTTCGACTGGCTGGGGAGACAGCCCTAGGCCTGTGCAGAGTTTCTGGCCTCCTCCTTTCTGCTCTCAGCCTGAACTTGCCTCTAACTTGAAAGGGCTAATTAAAGCCAAAAGAAAAATCAAAAGCTTGTTATCTGGCTCCATTACTCCCAGTCCTGGCATTAGCCTGTCTTGCAAAGCCGTTTTCCCTCTGTTCTCTCCAAGGCCACCATGCGGTTTGGGGACCTGCAGCTCTGCAGACGTCCCTGATGAACTTCGCTTTTTGAATTGTGGCAGGGAGCAAGGATGGGACAAACACCTGCCCATGGGCAGCCAGGCTGATCTCTGCAGCTGATTTTACTCCCCAAAGCATTGCCCAAAAACACGGGATTAGAGCAAGTTTTCTACAGAAAAGTGTCTACAGAAAAAAAACAGCAACCCCACTGATCTCAAAAGAACTATTTATTGAGCAAGCACACAGCATAAACTTGCCATTTTCTAACATAGGGTGCATGTGTGCATGCTCAAGGGGGTATCCATTGCCTATGCGCACACGTGCATACGTAGGTGTACGTGTGTGCAAGTGTGGTGATGAGAGGCAAGGGATCGGATTCTCCTCAAGTGCTGTCTCCGCCATTCATGCACAAGATATGTGACCTTGAGCAATCCATTGCCTTTTTTGGGCCTCAGAATGAAGGTAAAGAACAGGGGATCTCTAAGGGCCTTCCCCAGGCCAACGTTCTAATGCATCTCCCCAGGGACCTACGCTTGTGTGTGTAACAGACAAACACGCAGCACAGCATCTGGCCTGTCATTTATTGCCTTAATTTGGGAGCCATCCATGGTGCCCAAGTTCATAAACCTGTCTCATAAACTCTCTTGAGTGGATCAGCTACTGCGCCAAATCAAAGGCTCCAAAAGACATGTCACCTGCTAGGACGCAGCAGATGCAGCAGAGTTCCCTCAGTTCTCTGGCCCGGCCATGATTGCCAATTTGTTGCTTCCTTCTTTGGCCCATGGCACCTCTCCCATTTCCTTTGTGACACTAGGGGTCTCCTGGCTTTTCTGGACCTCCAAGAAGAAATGGAGGTAACTGGAAAACTCAGCTCAGACCACTGGGAAACAGCTGGAGCCTAAATGTTAGGACACCAAAGGCAAACTTTGCCAAGCCCCTTCTTTCTCCCTCTTCTCCGCCACCCCCACGCCAAATCCCAGTGACTGGAGGAGCGGCCTCATGGCACGCTGGGGCAGGGGGTGCCAGCATCCTCTGAGACCTGCTTGGGAAGTCGCCATACTTCATGGAGGGAAACTCACACTTTTTAAATCAATCCAAATACATCTTCCTAATATGAAATTCCACCAACGTTTAACTACGAGTCAAGAATCACATCTGTGTAAACGCATCCTTCTACCTGATGGGTAAATTTTCCTTTCTTCTCTCTACATTAAGATTATAGGATAGATTTTCTCAAACTAGGCTCACAATTTTTTAAATGGATAATAAAAAAGAAAAGAGGAAAGGAGAGCGACATAGGGCACAGAAGATGCCAACAGTTGAGGCTTCCAAGTCACTTGAAAAATGATTGAGAAAAAACAGAACCTTTTTAAAGATGAACAGAAGTCAAGCCACAGAAAGGCAGCTGCTTTTCACATCGGATCACAAGTGAGTTAGGCTAGGAGAGGCAGGAGGCTGTGATCACCCAGCAAGGCAGCAGCCTGAGGTCCACTCTGTCCCTTGGGCCCCAGGGGCCCTGCGAAGGCCTCCTACACCAACCCTTCTTCTCCCCTGCCTGTTTCTGTCAGCACTTCTGCCACCCGGAACTGTTCCGTGGCTGCTTCCTAACTTTGTGACATGTCTCTTCCATGGAAATGTGGACACAGAAGATGCTTAATAAATGCTGTTTTCTAAGCAAGCTCTGCTTTCCCCTCAGTTCACTGGCCTCTCACCTACTTCTTCTGCTCTCCTTTTGCCATTTCCTAAAGATACATAGGGGACTTATAACTCTCCTGAACTTCTCTATCTACCCCAAATGTGGCATGACCAGCTCCATTACTCCCAGTAACAGTTTTATTCTAAGCTCCCTCCCCACTCCCTCACTGGTTTTATTCTAAGTTCCCAGGAAAGTGATTGGCAGGCATGGTCCGTGAGAAGAGTGGGTACCCGTCTTGTCCTACAGCACACAGTGACCTCACCTTCCACAGTGCCTGGTGCATATGACATCTAAACAACACGATTCCCACCTGCTCCTAGCACTCCCTCCTATAACCCATGAGCCAACACGGAACAGAGGAAAGGACCCTGATAGGAAATCCATGTTTTAGGTCTAGTCTGACTCTTACACACTCAGTCATAGTCACAGCATGTTTGAGACGGTGATGATCCGAGCCTGATGAGACCAGAGACAGGTTTATATCCTGTCCCATCTGAAAAGTGGGATGGGTGATTTCACATCCCGTGGAGGCCACAGGCTGGGGCCCTCCCACCTCACCGCACCATCCCGCCCACAGGCCCTCCCCTGACTCACCGCGCTGCTGCAGGGAATGTCCTTCACCTTGAGCCAGGCCAGGTCCAGTGTGCCCTCGCCCCTGTAGCAAGACTGCAGCCGCTCCTTAATGCGGTCGTTGATCTGCTTCAAGATGAAGATGCACAGGGCCGACTCATCCAGGGATTTCATTTTCCGCTTCTGGCCTTTGGAGAAGACAGTGAAAAGGAGGTCGTCCTCTGAATGGACTCCGAGGGTCTGGGCGAGCACAGCTCCAGCTTTGGACAGGTAGGCGGCCTGCAGCAAGCGGTACTCCACCCCACCTCGCTCGCAGCCGATGGGCACCTCCACGTAGGAGTTGAACGCGGTGTCCTCCTTGCAAAGCCTCACGAGCTTGGATGTATAAACCTGTTCCTTTGTGGTGGAGCCCGGGGGAGACACCATCTCAGGCTGAAGGGTCAAAAAGTAGACAAAGTTGCCACTGCTGAAGCCATAGACGTAGTAGATATCAAAGTCGGGGATGACAGTGAAGGTGTCCGAAGGGATCTTAATCATCGAGGCCACAAACTCATCGTGGAAGACGTAAGCGAACATGCCATCTGCCTCCGAGTTCTTGGTCAGCTTCCGGCTGGAGATGGTAGGGAAATACTCCGGCTTCCCATCCACCGCAGTGGCAATGAAGAGCTTGTCGTCCAGGTTGCTATAGGAGACGATCACTCCAAAGACAGAACCACTCTCGTTGACTCCCGACAGGTAGTGTTCCTTCTTGTGAAATGGCTCCCCCAGCTTGAAGAGGTCCTCCAGCCTCAGGAGCTTGCAGATGCCTTGATAGAGGCTCCCACAAGCAATCAGCCTGTTCTCCTTGTAGTCTATTAGGAGCATCTTGTTGACATTGTTGGTGGTGGTCAGGGGCTCGTTGCATGTCTGGACGATGCGGGGTGGGTAACACTTGGGGTTGTCCTCGTCTGGCCCTGTCTGGTGGGTCACCAAGACCTTCAGGTCACTGGAGAGCTTGTAGATCCGGTTGACGGCCCCCAAGTAAATGTGCCCTGTCCTTTCATCCACCACCAGGTGGTTGAAGCCCTCAGCTGGCTCCCCACGGAATGTGACAAAAGATCGCTTCTGGGACAGCGGGGGTGGCTGCCGGGAGAGCAGAGTAGAGGAGCCCATCCCCACCATCAGGAGATGGGAGAGCAGGCAAGTCCAGTTCCAAGGCATGGCTTTCATTTCAGAGACGGGTCCTTGCAGCACGGTAGCTCTTGGCACAGCGGGCTCCTCGGAGGGCCAGGACGCAGGAGTGGAGGCTCCCTGCAGGGGAAAGGAAAGATGTGATGCTGGATAACAACAGCAGTGGCTTAGTTTCACCCCATAGCCTGTCTGGCTGGACCCTCAAAGCATTCTGCATGCGCGGAAGCAGAGAACTGCACTACGGGAAGCTGGAGGCTGAGGCACCTGTCCCCCATGGGTGTGTGGGACAGCCAGAGCTGGGTGGCACAGCCCCAGGAGGGTCCTTCAATGATAATAATAGTCGTAATAGTGATAATGGTAATAGTGGTGATGACAATGATAAACAACCATTGATTGCCGAGCATCTGACTTTGTGTCAGTCACTGTCCAGCACCTTCCAGAGACTCTCATTTCATCTTACACACCCTTCAGTACTGGGTCTCTTCCACCTGCCCCTCCAGATCTGCTCCCCACCCTTCTCTGCGCCCGGGAGGCTGACCTGTATGGACCATATGCCCACAGGCTCCCTGCCCTCGGTCCTGGTTAGGTGCAGCCAGTGGGGAGCGTCAGCAGCAGGCTGGCGGGAAAGGAGAGGACAGGAGGAGCAGAGGGGCTGCACGCACTGGCCACCACCATCGTCAAGGTCATGTTGCCCTGGGCAGGCCTCTCCACATGGCCTCTCTGTCTCTAGGGTCTGTGGACCACCTCCTGCCCACCCCCATTTGCTCCTATCTGTGGATCACCTCCTGCCCGCCCCCATTTGGTCCTAGAGGAAGTAACGGGGCCTCACTATTCCTACCTCCAAATACTGCCCTGCCTCTTAAGGAGCCACACCTTTGTCAAGAGCCCTTTTATTAACCTTTGTGCAAATGACCGAATTTGCTGTGCCATTTCCTGCTGGGACCCCGACTCCAGACCTCTGAAGGTAATGTTATCCCTATGCTATAGCTGAGGGAAGTTGTGCACCTTGCATGGCTAAAAGCCGCAGAGGCTGATTCAAACCCAGCAGACTACATTTGTAGCCGGTTCTCATTCTCACCTACTAAAGCGTCTCAGTTTACCCCAGCAGGGCACAGAGGGGGACGTACACCGCTTACTGTTCCTAGGCAGCAGAAGAGTCCGAACAACGCCTTCTCCGCGGCTGTCCATTATGGTCCGGCCCCCTGGGTCTGCACCCACTGCCAGAGAAGCTTGTCCTCTGCGCTGCCCGCTGCCTGCTTGTGCGGGAGGCCAAACCAAAACCCACATCCTCTACTCCTTTGTGCCGCAACAGCAACCAGGTCCTCTGGGTCGCCGCCCGGCTCCAGGCCTGGTGTCATTTTAACGAGGCAGATCCTGGCTACCTCCCACAGTGGGGCCTCCTCTCAGAGGTTTTCATTAAAGGGAGAGAACAAATGCTCTAAGAAGTGGTCAAGTGAGTAAGTAAATAACTCCCCAGGAACACACTAGCTTTCCATCCTAACGGTCTCATTCATTTCCGTTCAAGATGCTTTCTGCGTGTGTTTCCAGAGGACGGCTTCATATTCCTCCCAGTTGGGGAGAGATCAGGACAGGAAACGGCAATATCTTATTTGGGGGCATCTCAGCTCTGTGGAATTTCTCTTGTTTACCCCCAAACGCCTCAAAAACGGGGTTTTGGGAAGAGGTGGACCACTGAGCAACAGGAAACCCCCCAGCAGGGAGAGAACGTGACGTTAGATGGAAACCAAGTGAAGAAAGAAGACAACAAAGACTTGACATTGTCGGCTGGAATCCCAGTGAAAGCCACAGGTCTTCTCGAGCAAACATCAGAGGAGGACTCCGCAGACGGTCCTGCCAGTTGAGGGCCTCCATTCATTCCCCCGTGTGGCAAAGACTTGCTCAGGGCACACAAAACATGCAAGACACCATGGGACCCAAGGACAGCCGTGGCTGGATGGGGCACTCAAAGAACTTGCAGTCAGGTTGGGCAGACACCACTGGAACCTACATTACTCAGACAATGAAAAGTTATGTGATGACCACAGGGCACTTCAGAAGTTCGCATGAGGAAAGCTGACTTGTAACCTGGGGTGAAGGAGCAAGGAGAAGGCTGTGGGAGGCCTTGGGGAATGGATGGCATTCAGGCCGAGCCATGAACTTGGAGAGGACATGCAGAGCTGGGAGAGAAGGGCCTCCTTGGGGAGGGGTCAGTGTAGCAGAAGCCTGGGCATGACAAACAGGGTGTGCACCAAGAAGAGTCTGGGAAACGTAGTTCAGGAGAGTCAGGTGGAAGATACGACTGGAAAGAGAAACCACAGCCTTGCCAGGATGTCCCTGGGAGGTTGAGACTAAAATGCATGGAAATGAGGAAAGAAACTTAAAGGAAAAGAGCTCAGGCCCCCAGAGAGGAGCCTCCCCGTTTCTGTCAGTTTACCCTTTGTGGAGGGGATAGAGTTTGGAGCTGAGGGCTGTGGGCTCCGTGAGGGCAGGGACCGCCAGCCTGGCTCACTAGCATATCCACAGCACCAGACCTGCACTGGACACATAGCAGAGACTCAATAAGTGTTTTCTGATGGGCAGGAGGAGGGAAAGGAAGCAAGGAGGGGTATGAGTATCTGTGCATCGCTTACCATAGGCCAGGCCCGGTGCCAATGTGTGCACATGGAGGGCCTCACCTGAGCATCACAAGTGTTTGCTGGGCTCAGGATCGTTTCACTCATTTTTTCAGGTGAGGAAACTTTAGCTCTGAAGGGCATGTGGCTAACAGTGGCCGACCTGGGGGTGAAACCCAGGTTTCTATCACCCCAAAACCCATACTCTTTCTAGAAATGCACAATTCCAGAGCTTAGAATGTAGAGCCCTCAGAAGCCCCTTTGAATTCATATAAGTCACCCCACACAGAAATTCCAGGACAGCACCCAGGAATACCTCTGCACCAGCTCTGCAGCAGGACAGCAAAGCCCCGGGGACACACAGGGCATACCTGGCAGGGAGCACCTCTTGGGGCAGGCACCACTATTTACCTCTAGACAATGTGTTAACAACGGGGAAGCGCCTGGCACAGGGCCTCGGCCTGGCACACAGTAAGTGCTTATCAAATGATAGTGGTTGTTGTTGACAAGATTGAAACAAGTTTTAGAAGATTAGGATTATGACAACGAGATGGTACCAACTCAGTTAGAGTGAGGACTGGTCAGGATGTTTCATCTTGAATTGCCTGTGCAAATCCAAATCTCAGAAAAGAGCCTAGAAGTTTTTGATCTGAAAGAGATAATCCAAAATAGTGATTCCCAGTCTCTGATTTTAGAGACAAGGAAGCTGAGATCCAGAGAGGTCGAATGACTTGCAGAAGGTCACAGAGTGAGTTCAAGGTGGGAATGGGATTAAGCTCAGGTCTCTGGACTCGCAGTCCAGTGCTCTCCCCACCACCCAAGTCCTGTCTTCCAACTTTATGTGAAGCCACTTCGGCATCTGCTCCCTGGCCTTTGTCTGGAGGAGCCTGCTCTTTGGGTGCCACACGTCTGCTGGCTAACATAGCTCTCAGAACCTCACTGCCAACAACCAAATTCCAGCAGGGTTGGTGATCCTTATTCCAGACAGGCAGGTGCAGGTCAGTGCTCAGCCATCAAGCCTCTGAAGGGACCTTTCGGCAGTCCCTATATTGGAACCTGCCAAGCATCAGGAAAAGTGTGCCTGCCATACCTCTGCCTTACTGTACACACTCAAGGACCCACAGCCAGTCAACAGGTCTCTAGTCTGCAAGAGGCGAGACGAGGAAGCCTGTAATTATGAATTTACTGAGCAGAAAGGTGCCAGGGCTCATTCTCCATCTTCTATTAGGCACTGAAATGAGACACAGTTATGCATCTCAAACACTTATCACTCTCATCTGGGGATGGTGAAATTACTGCGCCTGGGGTGGGGGGGGGGGCGCACAGAAAACAATAACGTGTGATAGGAATAACCAGCCTCTCATTTTACACACTGCGAAGGGGACTGATTAGAAAACAAATAACAGAGAAATGGAAGAGAAAAGGGAACAAGCGAGGATGTGGGCTCCAGCTTGCCTCGCCAGAGATCCCACGGGCTACCACCACAGACATGACCCACTGCAGCCCTCCCACCCCACCCCCTAACCCACAGGTGGGCAGAGTTCCCAGTGCTCTCCCCCCAGGACTGCCTGAGGCTGCTCCATTCTAGCAAAGCTGGGGTTTCCAGAGTGGTTTCCCACTCCAGGACATCAATCCTCAAAAGTGGTAACCCCAACCTAAGAAATGCACCCCAATTCCAGGTCCTACCCACCATCTCTCTCTCAGGGCATAATTTAGCTGGCTTTAAAACAAAGTATTGGAGGTAGCATTCAGCCCAATTCTGATTCTTAAAGGCAAGTAATGTGACCAAGTCACCCCAAGATTGCCCCAAAGGGCTCCCTGACACAGGTGGAGTGGGCAGGGGCAAGAAGGTAGGAGAATTGAGAAGCTCTGCGTGAGACCCAAACACACAGCGGTTTTCTCTTCTTTGAAATCAGATTTTAATTCTGAACAATCTCAGGGGAGATGGGACTCATTTTTAGAAGCTGATCATCATTTTGATTAAAGAAATTGGGGCTTTGTTTTATGTGGCAAGTGTTGAAGAGCTCAAACTAATTTTCATGTAATAGCATCATCTCTCAGATTCCTGAGTGGTGGAGAAGAAAGTTATTATACAGCCGTTTAAAGCAGCAATTACCTTGTGAAATTACTTTAGAGTTTACAAAGTGTTTTCATATATGTTACCTCGCACTGATTTTATTGTTTGCGACAACCCTGTGGGTGGGGATTTGTGAAGGGACCTCCTTTACAGATAAGGAAACCAAGGCATGAGCGGGTACAGGTCCTGGCTGAGGCCACACACAATCACAGCAGGACTTGGAAAGCTCTCCAGGTCTCCCTCAGTCCACATGGTACCTTCCCTGACCCTCTGGAGGAGTCCTAATTCTCAGGACCTTTGCTACAGGTTAAGAGAACATCCAAAGAACGTATTCTAGGACGCTGTTTCAATAAAACCATCTCCACAACCCTTCATGAGTCCAGAAACCAATTGAGGGGGTCACAAGTGCTTTTTAAGTGAAATAACAAAAG